AAGCATTATCATTTTAAATAACCTAACCAAAGTGTTGTGTCCGTGATAAAGTTCTTGCAATTTTCCAATGATCAGGCGTTTAATCGCACAGTTAATCGCATAACACTGATCGATTTCGATACCAGAGTTGTCAACGAAATAAATTTGTTTCAGTTATTAAGGTGCTTGTTCCTCCTGAGGTCGTCCTGCATTAACTTGGGTCCGTTGCTGAGGTTTTTGATTTACACTGCTAATCGCCAATATTTGTAAATTGCGGTTGCGTGAGGCAATGTTTCCTTATCTATTCGGCGATGGGTTTACGAACACTGAAATTATAATGTCGAAATATTCAAATTATCTTCGAAGCTATCGAACCACATTCGCAACAGATAACCTAACCTAACCAACATAATTGTAAACACAACAAAAAGACAACTCACATAGGGCAATCCACTCTACGAGCTATGCTCGGTATTACGTAAGCAACTTTCTTTAATACATATGTATATATAGATATAAATTTTTAAATAGTTGGTTAAAAGTGAATTTAAATGCCGCTCATTCCCTGAATGCGTTGTAATATTTTAGTCGATATATATTTAAGTACCAAATATGTTAAGCGGGTGACAACCCCACCTCAAGCGGTGAAGCTGTCCTTCAAAATGGTGTTTCAATCATTCAATTTGATGAAGTATAATGGAAGATATGGCGCTCTATTGACCGGATACAGTGCTCTCAGCTCCTTAAAACCCCCTTTTTTTCAATAAATAACTAAATTTGAACAACGTGACTTTTTTTGCAAGTACGTCAGCTTCTCCCCTTCAAAATGAGACATCATTAATTAAATTTGATAATATGTTAAAGGATATATCATTTGGTAACATAACACTACCTTTTAGGAAAAAGTATTTATATAGATATAGATTTTCGGTCCCTGTTATTAACTTATACACTGCCGCTCACTTGTATGCTTTAATTTTTTTAATATAATTTTGCTCCATTTTGCGTCTGGACTATTTTTTGTTATATAAACCAGCGCAAATTTGCAGCTAGATGCAATATCCAAGCACCCTTCATTTTTTGTACTAGCCTCAAAATCAAATTTCATTAAAATTTTCTATATTTTCTAATGCAATATTATATGCACAATTGAGAAAAAATCGAATGCCGATTCTCGATTTTTCGTATCGATTCACGGATCGAATCGGAGCTAAAAAATCAAATCGGAAGGGCTCGATTAAAAAGGTATCTCTAATTTGGCCGAGATTCTCCTCCGATTTGTGGCTTGCGCTTTGATGTTGTTACACAAAGTCGAGGAAGTGCAGTCCTTCACTCGGAGGCTTGCCATTGCCTGCCGAGGAGCGACCGCTGTTACGGAAAAAACCTTTTAACCATATTTTTTTGCCATGTTGCTTTGACCAGGGCTTGAACCCACACCACTACTACCACTACCACTAACCACTGCACTACAGCGGAAACAATACTTGATTCTATGTATATAAATAAAGTTTCAATTAAAAAAAATATTTGAGTGAGAAAGCCTGCGTGAGCGTGCGTGATTAAGAAACTAGACATCGTGAACGTGATTGAAAACAATATAACAGAACGTGAGTGCGCGTGATTTACAAAACCATCAACGTGAGCGTGCGTGAACGTGAGCTAAACCACTCACGCGCCCATCTCTAGTTCATATGAAGAACTCCAATACGCAGCACACAAATTAACAAAGAGGGCTATTTATAATTTACACAGCATGAAAACGGAAATAAAATGCATATGTATTGAATAAGCACTGGCGCTATATATAAATGGATTTGTCGGAACGATAATATAACGTATTGCAGTAAGCAATTAATGAGCTTAATCCTAACTGTTTGCCATCATTGTATGCGTTAAGAAATGAAAAATTAAAATTGTTACCTCCTATTGCAACGATTGAGGTTGACTTAAAATGTGTAATATGCAAAATAGTGGAAAGTTTGGTTAAATTTGTAATACGGAACAAAAATTTACAAAGCTGTCCTTAATTAAGTGTAGTATGGACGGTAGCTCTAGCCATAGTCGATACAAACTACAATTTGAATAAAAAATATTCCCTCTGCGGTATGTAAGTTACACAGGCATGCGATGTTTACTCCTTCAAAAAACGAGATAGCAATTTGTGTAGGTATTAGGTACTAAGCTACGAAAAAAATTATGCAAAAATTCCATCACGTAGATTTTCGATGAAAATTCGTTTTTCATTGTTCTTACTGTTAGCGTAAGTTAGAATTTAAGGATATTATTAATAAAAACTGGGTTTTTGGGTAAAAATTTTATTTTAGCTATTTTAATGAACTTTTAAAAAGATCTAGAATATGCATGTTATTACACGTTTCTCATTAAACAGGTCTGCGATGGTTTTCTACTTAAAAACTAAAAAACGTTTACATATAAATAAAATCTCAATCAAAGCTCGCTTGTTAATCACCCCGTTTACACTCGAAAATATCAGATTACGCTTGTTTACAGCAAAAATGTTCTGTGGATGCCACTAACCAATTCCCATGTAGAAATGCTCGGTGATTTCGGAAATCGAGTTAATTTTTTTTCCTGTGGAGACGTTTTCGAGATATTTGCACTTTACCGTTATTCAGCTAAACGGTATATACATCACTTTCCGATAGGCCTGATAGTTTCTGAGAAATAAATTAACAGCACAATAAAACACAAAACAGTCGTTATTTTTTTATTCCCCGACTCCTTGCTAAAATTTGTATTTTTAAATTTTTAATTAATTATTAATTAATTTCTCAAAAACTATCGAAAAATTATTTATGTACGGTTTATGGAGAATTTCATTGTCTTTCATATGCCGTATTTCGTATTACTATTGTTCAATTGGTTCGTAAGATTACGTGATTAAACTAAACTAAAATTTGTGGTCCAGTGTTATTAGTCGTCAAATTTGTTGCGCTTGTTAAGCTCATAACTTAAGGAAAAGTTAAGTTTCTTCTCTGTGCCACCGTGATCGCTTTTTCTGTTACATTAAGAAATTTAAATATATTTTGACTTAATACTTTATTAAAAATTCCGTTACAAACCTCTTTTCCTTGCCAGCGTCCATTTTTGTATACTTTTATATTTGACATTTCCACTGTTACTCGCAAAAATAATTGTTAAAACTAGGACACAGAAAAGTTGTCGGTTCAATCTGAGATTATTTTATAATTGCAGATTAACGTGGCACGAATTTTGTATGGCTAATTACAGATTAGGGAGTTAAGCTCGAAAAGGAGGATAACCTACTTATATGTAAACCTAGTATAAAAGTAATCTGGGTAGGCATTAGGTACTAAGCTACTAAAAAATAAAAAAAAAATGGTGTTACTACGTATTACTAGCGTTAACTTCGAATTTCCATAAGCCTTTCTGATTTACTTAACTAGTATTTTTACCTAATCAAGTTTATTTTTAAGTAAAAGTTTAATTTTAGTTGGATTCATTTTTGGCTCTTCATGTTTCAAAATATTCATGTCATTAATAAAAATAATTCTTGATGTGCTAGAAAAAAAAAAACAAGAATGTATTTTAATTTAACATACCTAGACATTTTAAAAAATAACATAATAATTGGAATGAAGAAAATAAAGTTAAATTTCGCAGGCCTGTGTTGTGCATTGCACAATTATGCATTTATATTTGATATTTCTTAATGTTTTCAGATTGGAAAATTTAGTCCCATAAAACGGTGGGGTGAAAAACATCATACGCAATAAGGCCATATGGTCTATTTCCATTTTGTTTTAGAAATAAAACCATATGACGTTATTTCCAATCCAGAAGTTAAATAAAGTCAGATTCAAAATTGTACAAATAAGTAATAAAGTCATAATTGAAATTAAAACCGCTTCAACTCAAAATTCATGTCTGGCCACACTGTTTGTGGATCACACATTTTTTCTATTAATTGACCGTACGCGAGTTTCTTTATTATTCAGTCCGGTATAATATAGACGTCGCATTTTAAACCCCCAGTACTACGAATCCGTGAACGGAAATTTACTTTTTTTTTAATATTTCAAAAGTTATCTGTAGAAAAAACACATTCCGAACATTATTTACGAGATGTTAGCTCCTGGCGGCAACGTTAAATCAAAAAGCTAACAAACATTCTTAAAAATTATTTTGAGTCCCAATAATTAAAATAATTATGATTTAAGTTTTCAAAATTCGGGTATGTCAGATGCAATATTTTTACGCGCACAACTCCTTTTTGAGTAGGCGACCTTCGGCCGCGCTACATCAAAGTATTTACTAGCTCTAGCCGTACCAATATCTCGGCTATGCTATTACCCACAGTGTTATGTGCGCGCCGAAAATAAGTTTAGTGGTTCTTTGTTCCGTTATCGAATAAACTTGTTTGTTCGATTTTGTTAAAACATGTACATACATATGACCGGTTCAAAAAACAATTTTCTTCTTTTCATGATCTTAGTAGAGAAATGAGTTGCTCTACATGCCCAAAGACATTCTTCCAAAGGCTACCCCCAATATCTTTAATATCGGATTAGCGAATCGTATTTGAATGTCAAAATTTTTTGATTATCGTCTTAGAACTCAAAATGTGTATAATTGGAAGCTATTTCGGGTTGAAATTCATGATTTTTTCAATTTTGGGTTGCAGATTCTATTTATTATTAGTCACGATTGTTTGGTAAGATAAAAATATCAACATATTTGAGTTCCTGGGTAAAAACTACCCCTATAAACCTGGTGATTTTTTCGAAATAGCCCGAAATAACTTCCAATTATAAACCTTTTTGAGTTCTAAGACGATAATAAAAAAATGTTGACATTCAAATACGATTCGCTAATCCGATATTAAAGATATTGGGGGTAGCCTTTGGAAGAATGTCTTTGGGCATGTAGAGCAACTCATTTCTCTACTTTCTGTACATACGTACTATGATACTGAATTATTTAAATTGATACAAATTATTACTAATAAAATGAAATAAATAATTATTTTATATTTCCAGATTTATTGAATATTGGAAAATAAATATATCGTCGCCGCGCCAACAAAAACAGTTGTGTTTTTTTAATAACTTTTCAGGAGAGCAAAAAAACTGATTCCTAGTGCCAATAGACAATATTTTGCAAATTTCGTCTTAAAAAGGATCAGTCCAGAGCCTTCGTCTTGACCTGGCTCCGCCACAGCCGCTAAGCTTAAACGCAGAATACATGTACATGAAATATTCGTTTTGATTGTATTGAACTAAATTTAATAAATCAATATGAATTGCAAAATATTAATAATTAGCAATAGAGAAGCAGATCCACATTAACTTCAATCATATGTACCATCATATTTCATATTTCATCTTTATTCCGTCTATGATTTACAATCTTACAGACTAGAAGTAGGCTTAAAAGTATTAACGGTGACTAGTATATGTACAATTACGAAAATAGGTTTCAAGAGATTATTTAAAAAGACTTCTTGGAAACGAAAAGTCGATATCTAAAGCTCTTTGAGATATTGTTAAATTCCACAAACATCGTATATCATTACTTGGATTAATTTTTATTTCCTTTCATACTGGAGAAATGTGTATTACTTTTTATATTAGCCTAGGTCCCCGTATTACTATTCTTCTTCGTGTTCGTGTTCGTCCTCTCATTATCCTCGTCTTCGAATTTGTGCATAAGTTAGCAAAGACTTCTGAAGCAGCTGGCAACCCTCCGAAATATAGTTAAGAAATAAAAAAATTTCGTGCGTCTGATATTGCGATACCTACAAATTTCATGTGCCTGATGAATTAAGTTTAATTTGCTTTTTTAAATACGTGACAACGCTCCTAAATACAGTTCAGAAATAAACCCTTTTTAAACCCATTTCATTTGATACCCATATTTTTATAATTGCTTTAATTTATAAAGTAATTTGAGTTTAACTTTTTAAACAGGTGGCAACTCTCTTTAATATTCTAAATATTCAAACTAAGAATATCTTACCATCTTCGTTTCACGTCATATTTTAATTTTTCATTTAGCTTATGCTTACTTTAATTAAATTCTAATTTTAAAACATATGCGAACCCTATTCAAAATATTTTAAAACCAAAACCTTGTTAAATCTTTTTCAACTTACAAACATATTGCAATACAAATTTAAATTTTGAATATAAATCCCTTAATTCAAGTTGAATTCAATTTCTAAAACATATGGCAACCCTCTGAAATAAAGTTCCGAAAAAAATATTTTTAACCCGTGTCAATTTATACCTACACTTTAATAATTCTTTTGACTTATTAAATAATTTGAGTTTAACTTTTTACACAGGTGCAAACCCTCTTTAATGTTATAAATTCTCAAACTAAATATTTCTTAATACTCTTGTTTGACGCCCATATTTGAATATATCATATAATTTAATTTGATTCGACTTTTCAAACAGATCGCAATCCTGTTCAAATTATTTTTGAACCAAAACCTCGTTAAACCTTTTTCGTCTGACACTTGTATTGTGATACATATTTAAGTTACTAATACTCTTGATTAAAATTGAATTTAATTATAAAATCAGGTGGCAACCCAACTACATGCAGTTTAGAAATAAAGTTTCTTCAAAGCAATTTTTATTTATATTCATATTGAAGTAATTTATTTAACCTATTGCTTATATTGAATCTAACTTTGTAACAAGGTGGCAACCTCTTTCGTCGGACATCCATATCAGGATATACATTTCAAATTTTCTGCAACCCTTCAACATATAATTAAGAAACAAAGCCTTTTCAAAACCATTTCTATAGATACTCATAGTGTGATAATTGATTGAACTTAAAAATAATTTAAGTTAAATTTTTTTATCAGGTGTCAACTCTTTTTGAAAAAAATAAGTTATTGCACATCCACAGGACAAGTCCTTTAATTTGATGCCTTATTTTGAAAAATCGAACGAACGGTACAGAACTGATATGACGAAAAAGGTTGCGCGTATTATGCAGTCATATGTATATATGTATGCATGTACATTAGGGTGGTACAAAAAAAAATTAAAGTCGGAATTCTAATGCTAGATTGTTCTATATCGAAACAAAGTATACCCCTATTTTTTTTATTTTGAAATTAAAAAATATTTAGAGGTCGCTCAAAGCGCTCAAAGTTTTCCATGTATTTTTATATGGGAAAAAAACAACTTTTCGCAGAAATGGTATAGAATTCTTGAAAATCAATATTTTTCTATCGGAAAACTATGGTTATCTTCAGGAGACTTTCAATAATAATACGCAATTATTTATTTAACCATCTTTTAAAACTAACGGTTTTTTATTGGTCCCTTCATTGACGGACCTATAAATTATAGCTTCGAGGAAAAAATTGTTAAACAACATAGCCTCCATATCGAAACGTAAGACGTATTCTACGTCAAAAAAAATTTGATTAAAAATATGTTATTGATTTATGAAAAAAAAAATCAATTTTTTGACCAATTACGACGTGATCAACATTTGCGCCGCTTTACAGCACATACCTGTTTTTTAGACGACTTAAATTTGCTTTGGGCGGTATGGAATCGTATGCAATTTGTACATAATACTGGCGTTAGGCCTAGATGCAATGTATAGAAGTTGAGGACTCGGTTAGTTAACTGCCCGTTACTCCTATCTAGCACGTTGGTGTCCTTGACGCGGGGCTAGATCTTAAGTGGTGACATGGGGGCCCTTAGGGGTTTAAATGTCGGCATGAACTAACAGAGATGCTCCGCATGGGAACCTGTGTAGAACATGTGCTTACGCAGTTTCCGATGTGGAGATTATAGTACCAACAAACCCAGGGGGGTTCCGCATTGCGGGGCTACGGGTGTCACAATCCCGGGTACCCCAGTCAAAGACTACCAATGCTGAGTCGGTCAGAGGCTCAATTGGTAGAAGAGTCTGCGACTTTCGGAAGTCATACCTAAGACTTTAAAAGATGAACCGCGGGCGAACAGATGCCAGTGAGACGAACAAGGCCGAAAGACAGGCCAGATGCACATGTAAAATCGTATAGCTGGGAAGGTATGTAAGAAACAATGTGGCTCGTCAAGCTGCTTGAGTAGGTGTAGAAAACCTTAATAGGAGCAATTCCATGCCTATTGTCCACCCAGGCTGGAATTTGTTCCCCAGTAAGGCTAGTAGGACCTGCGAGGGTAGCGAGACGAGCAGAATGAATCAGGTGAGTCAAGTGACTTGAACAAGGGTTGAAAGTCGATTTTCACTCCGGATTAGGGACACCGGGGTGGAATGAGATTAGTAAGTCTTGTGAGAGGAGCGAGACGAGCTGGATGATAATGTTGAAAACTGTTGCAACTGTGGAAAATTTGGATAAAGGGTTGAAAACACGGTGTAAATATTTGTGGTAAACCGTGGATTGGTGAATATGTGGTAAAAGCAGACCTTCTTAGTTGTACGATTGAGCATTTGTATTCTGGTATGTTTAGTAGGTTGCGTGACTCGAGCTGGTCAAGCAAGTCTGGCTGGCGAGCACTACTCCAGTCTGTTCACTGAGGTATGGCCCTTCGGGGAGTATCGCGGGGACTGTGGTTTAATACCAAAGGCGGTAGAACTCAAAAAAGTTCGATGTGGAGTTGCATTGAAACCGGGTGCCGGGACCCAAAGAACGGAAGAGACTTTAGGTAGGTTTCGGCCTCACCAAGGTGGTTAGTGTGTCCTCCCACACTGCCTTAGGAACTGAAATGCTTGCATTTCAGGGCAATGATTATGGCATGAGTTAATCCGTGAGCTTAACGGGCTCTGTGGAGTGTAGACCGTATACTACGGCAGGTACCCACAATAAACCTGAACTACATCTGCCCGTTGTTCCTGTTATGTAATGAAAAATGGTCAGAAACGTTTGTATTGGATTTTTGTAATAAAAATTAATTAAAGTGGTGAGTGGACACATATTTTGTACAAACCATGAAATTGCCAGAGATGCGAACCTTTTTTTTCGGTCAGCGTATTAACTTGACCCAATGTGCTTTTTCAAAGTTTCGATGGGTGATATCCAATGAAAGCTCGTATTTACAAAAAATAATTTCAATATAAATATAATTGAATTTTTATTAAATGTTTTCACATTTGTACACATTATGCAAATTTGCATAACATAGTAAATTGCATAAAAATGTAAAACTAAGTATTTATCGAGGTAGATTATCATACAACGAATGGAAATCTTTGTGTGTATATTGATTTAACGTTTGAAGGCTGTTGTGTTTAGATTGATCAATTTTTTTTAGACCATCGTGCAATAGCTCCGTTTCGTATTGCTGTAATAACAGAGCTCGTTTTTGTGGCAAAGATGTCCAGCAGTCGGTATGACGCAACTTGAATTTTACTTCACCATTTACATAAAGCAATCCTCTGATACTACTTACTGGTGCTTCCCAAGGTTTTTTACCTGGCCTTATAGTTGTAAATTTAAAAAAAATATATACTCTAAATAATTAATAATATAAGGATGTGATGGCCTCGACTGCGCATACGACTTATGTAGTCCATTAGTGAATATATCGGTGGATTGAATACACTTTCTACGTGGACGCTGTCTATCTCCACACTTTTTACCTTTGTTAATTGTCGGATTCCAATTGCAAGCGATCAAATTAAATAGTAGAATCTATGTAGTGAAACTGGTATGTGCATAGATATGTATGTGCATATGTACATATTTAGTTGGTAATTATTTTTTACATCGAAATCAAAGAACACTCATCAGATTCGCCTGCGATCAAAAACAGTTATAAGCAAGTAAGCGTATACCCGTTTTTTTTTCGGAGTATTTCTAGTACTGCGGGCACATACTGCGAGTGCATAACTTGGCGGGTGCACATTTGCTCCCTCCCCGCGCCACGCTACCACAGCGTCTCGTTGCACTGCACTCGCGCCGCCCCCAAGCCTTCTCCGCAAAAACTGGTTTTATGTTTTCTAGACAAAATTTTAAAAAGCGCAATAAAACCATAATAGCTTTATTTCCATTTCCCGTTGGAAATAAGGCCGTATCGAAATTACGGGTTTATTTCCAATCGCAAAGCGAAATAAAACCATTATGGTCTTATTGCGCCATCTTCCACAATGTATTGTAGACGCCTTCACTTTGTATTAATAAAAGAGAATCCAGATTTAGTAAAGCAAGTGCAAGATTTTATTGAAAAATTTAAAAATTTCGAATGTTCTGTAATTGATACAAATGGTTAAACTATTGAGGTGTCTTACGATATTCACTGCACAGT